TGTTACTGGCAAAGGAGGTCTCATAATGTAAATGCTCACCCCGAGCCCTCAATACTCTGATAGTGCGCTGTTTTTGAGTTGTACGCCTTTTGGCGTCTTCTGGTCCAACACCAGTGTGAGACTAAAGGGCTCTAAGAAAAGCCGTCTCGGGTGTGGACCAATCACATTCAAGGACAGTGCTAATATTATTATCAGAGTTGTCTTTCTTTGTTGGCATTTTGACTGCTTTGTCTTGTGGTTATTGCAAACATGATGCCCTTGAATAAAGGTGTCAGTTTTTGTGTGCCAGTTAAAAGGGTTAAACCTATTACTATATCTTGTTACTGGCAAAGGAGGTCTCATAATGTAAATGCTCACCCCGAGCTCTGATAGTGCGCTGTTTTTGAGTTGTACGCCTTTTGGCGTCTTCTGGTCCAACACCAGTGTGAGACTAAAGGGCTCTAAGAAAAGCCGTCTCGGGTGTGGACCAATCAAATTCAAGGACAGTGCCAATATTATCATTATCAGAGTTGTCTCTTTTTTGTTTGCATTTTGACTGCTTTGTGGTGTGGTTATTGCAAACATGATGCCCTTGATTAAAGGTGTCAGTTTTTGTGTGCCAGTTAAAAGGGTTAAACCTATTACTATATCTTGTTACTGGCAAAGGAGGTCTCATAATGTAAATGCTCACCCCGAGCTCTGATAGTGCGCTGTTTTTGAGTTGTACGCCTTTTGGCGTCTTCTGGTCCAACACCAGTGTGAGACTAAAGGGCTCTAAGAAAAGCCGTCTCGGGTGTGGACCAATCAAATTCAAGGCCAGTGCCAATATATAAAAGGGTTAAAACCTATTCCTATAGTCAGACAGCTGTCGAGTGAGCCGGCGTCGCCGCCGCCGCCGCCGCTAAGACGGTCAAGTAACGAATGAAGAAACGTGCCTCCTCTATGGTCATCGTCGTCCGGAGTCCTCCAATGCGCTCGGAGCGATCCGGGACCACGTTCCGTTCACGTGACACTGAACCTCACCCTTTATGCTGTGTCGGGTGGTGGCGGATTTAAACGACTCGCGTTCATTGATGCGAGCTGAGCCAATGAAAGTGAGAATGGGTTTTCCTTCTGGCAACAAAACGGCTGCGTTCAGATGTTAAAACGCCAAACTGAAACCTTTTACAAGGAATCATGTGTGCATTAACCACAGTAGTTGTGGTCACAACGCAAACGAAAAAAATACGCTCTGATCATCAAACTGATTGGTCCACACCAGAGCCCAAATTGAGTCTCAAACTAGGCTCGAAAGACCAGTCAGTGTCAAGGACAATGCATCATACATTATTATAATTAATAATAATAGCATTGTGTGTGACTAGGCTCTAAAGAAAGCTGTCTAAGGTGTGGACCAATCAGTTTCAAAGACAATGCATCATACATTATTATAATTAATAATAATAGCATTGTGTGTGACTAGGCTGTAAATAAAGCTGTCTAAGGTGTGGACCAATCAGTTTCAAGAACAATGCATCATACATTATTATAATTAATAATAATATCGTTGTGTGAGACTAGGCTGTAAATAAAGCTGTCTAAGGTGTGGACCAATCAGTGTCACGGACAATGCATCATACATTATTATAATTAATAATAATAGCAGTGTGTGAGACTAGGCTGTAAATAATGCTAAGGTGTGGACCAGTGTCAAGGACAATGCATCATACATTATTATAATTAATAATAATAGCGTTGTGTGAGACTAGGCTCTAAATAAAGTTGTCTAAGGTGTGGACCAACCAGTTTCAAGAACAATGCATCATACATTATTATAATTAATAATAATAATAGCATTGTGTGAGACTAGGCTGTAAATAAAGTTGTCTAAGGTGTGGACCAATCAGTTTCAAGAACAATGCATCATACATTATTATAATTAATAATAATAATAGCATTGTGTGAGACTAGGCTCTAAATAAAGCTGTCTAAGGTGTGGACCAATCAGTGTCAAGGACAATGCATCATACATTATTATAATTAATAATAATAGCATTGTGTGAGACTAGGCTCTAAAGAAAGCTGTCTAAGGTGTGGACCAATCAGTGTCAAGGACAAGGCATCATACATTATTATAATTAATCATTATAGCGTTGTGTGTGACTAGGCTGTAAATAAAGCTAAGGTGTGGACCAATCAGTGTCAAGGACAATGCATCATACGTTATTATAATTAATAATAACGTTGTGTGAGACTAGGCTGTAAATAAAGCTGTCTAAGGTGTGGACCAGTGTCAAGGACAATGCATCATACATTATTATAATTAATAATAATATCGTTGTGTGAGACTAGGCTGTAAATAAAGCTGTCTAAGGTGTGGACCAATCAGTGTCAAGGACAATGCATCATACATTATTATAATTAATAATAATAGCGTTGTGTGAGACTAGGCTCTAAAGAAAGCTGTCTAAGGTGTGGACCAATCAGTGTCAAGGACAATGCATCATACATTATTATAATTAATAATAATAGCATTGTGTGAGACTAGGCTCTAAATAAAGTTGGCTAAGGTGTGGACCGATCAGTGTCAAGGACAATGCATCATACATTATTATAATTAATAATAATATCGTTGTGTGAGCCTAGGCTCTAAAGAAAGCTGTCTAAGGTGTGGACCAATCAATGTCAAGGACAATGCATCATACATTATAATTAATAATAATAGCATTGTGTGAGACTAGGCTCTAAATAAAGTTGGCTAAGGTGTGGACCAATCAGTGTCAAGGACAATGCATCATACATTATTATAATTAATAATAATAGCGTTGTGTGAGACTAGGCTCTAAATAAAGCTGTCTAAGGAGTGGACCAATCAGTGTCAAGGACAATGCATCATACATTATTATAATTAATAATAACGTTGTGTGAGACTAGGCTGTAAATAAAGCTGTCTAAGGTGTGGACCAGTGTCAAGGACAATGCATCATACATTATTATAATTAATAATAATAATAACGTTGTGTGAGACTAGGCTGTAAAGAAAGCTGTCTAAGGTGTGGACCAATCAGTTTCAAGAACAATGCATCATACATTATTATAATTAATACTAATAATAATATCGTTGTGTGAGACTAGGCTCTAAATAAAGCTAAGGTGTGGACCAATCAGTGTCAAGGACAATGCATCATACATTATTATAATTAATAATAATATCGTTGTGTGTGACTAGGCTCTAAATAAAGCTGTCTAAGGTGTGGACCAATCAGTTTCAAGAACAATGCATCATACATTATTATAATTAATAATAATAATAGCGTTGTGTGAGTCTAGGCTCTAAAGAAAGCTGTCTAAGGTGTGGACCAATCAGTGTCAAGGACAATGCATCATACATTATTATAATTAATAATAATAGCGTTGTGTGAGTCTAGGCTCTAAATAAAGCTGTCTAAGGTGTCGACCAATCAGTTTCAAGGACAATGCATCATACATTATTATAATTAATAATAATAATAGCATTGTGTGTGACTAGGCTCTAAATAAAGCTGTCTAAGGTGTGGACCAATCAGTTTCAAGAACAATGCATCATACATTATTATAATTAATAATAATAGCATTGTGTGTGACTAGGCTGTAAATAAAGCTGTGTCAAGGACAATGCATCATACACTATTATAATTAATAATAATAGCATTGTGTGAGACTAGGCTGTAAATAAAGCTGTCTAAGGTTTGGACCAATCAGTTTCAAGAACAATGCATCATATTATCAGTGTGTTTTTTGTTTGTTTACATTCTGACCACAAGTACTGTGGTTAATGCAGACAATTATTCCCTGTAAGAGGTTTCAGTTTGGCGTTTTGAAAACTTAACACAGCCGTTTTGCTGCCATAAAACAGAGGGAAAACCTATGATCACATTTTGGTACTGGCAAAGGGAGGTCCTCTTCATGAAACCCAATAATTAAAAATAAAACCCCCCTATAATTATGGTATTAAGAGTTCAAAAATGTTGAGCGTTTCCTCGCACGTATCTCCATGCGCCAAGCAAAAAAAAAATCAGAACACGTAGGGTCTATGTTGTGGTTTAGGTGAAGTCAAAAAAATAAATAAACGTGGAGTCGTGGTAACGAACGCGGCAATAGGATGCGTGGTAAATAATTCATTGATCGGTTTGTTGTTTTATTAGAAACGCGCACGCAATCATAACAAAAAAAACGGGCCAATCAAAATCGAGCAGCCTCCGGCCCGCTGTTGTGCAAAGATATCGCAACTACTGTACTGTAGAGCTGGCAAAAGTTAACACAACCATCCTTACGTTATAACAATCGCCTGCAAAGTTAACCATCCCTACATAACATGGCCGCCCGCAAAGTTAACCATCCCAACCTAACATGGCCGCCTGCAACATTTACACAGCCAATCCCTACGTTATAATACCCGCCTGCAAAAGTTAACACAACCACCCCCTACCTAACATGGCCGCCTGCAAAAGTTAACCATCCCAACCTAACATGGCCGCCTGCAAAAGTTAACCATCCCAACCTAACATGGTCGCCTGCAACATTTACACAGCCAATCCCTACGTTATATAACCCGCCTGCAAAAGTTAACACAACCAACCCCTACCTAACATGGCCGCCTGCAAAAGTTAACCATCCCAACCTAACATGGCCGCCTGCAACATTTACACAGCCAATCCCTACGTTATATAACCCGCCTGCAAAAGTTAACACAACCAACCCCTACCTAACATGGCCGCCTGCAAAAGTTAACCATCCCAACCTAACATGGCCGCCTGCAACATTTACACAGCCAATCCCTACGTTATCATACCCGCCTGCAAAAGTTAACACAACCACCCCCTACCTAACATGGCCGCCTGCAAAAGTTAACCATCCCAACCTAACATGGCCGCCTGCAACATTTACACAGCCAATCCCTACGTTATCATACCCGCCTGCAAAAGTTAACACAACCACCCCCTACCTAACATGGCCGCCAAAAAAGTTAACACACCCTTCCCTACCTGAAATGGCCGCCCGTCCGCCGTCACCTTCCCCCCCCCTACGTAAGATGGCGACCTAGGATGTTTTTTTCCAAGCCGTAGCGAATGATCGACGCTTCTCCACCCAAAACCTGACCGCGTCGTTCCGACTCCCCTCCACCATAACCAAGAAAATGGACCGATTCGTGTGGACTAACGGCCTCCTGGAGATGAACGAGACGCTGATCGTCCAGCAGCGCGGAGTTCGCCTCTACGACGGCGCCGAGAGGGTACGAGAGAGGCGGTAGGCCTTGTCCGGACCCCCCGCCCTGGCCTAGATTTCCTACCGGGCAGGGCGCGCGCGACACGGCTGGGGGGTGGGGGGTGGAGGGGGTCAGGTCCCGATGGTGGTGATGGTGGTGATGTTGCGCTAACTGTGCGTTATCGGTGTAGTGTATAGTAGTGTAGTGTATAGTGTAGTGTATAGTGTAATATATAGTGTAGTGTATAGTAGTGTAGTGTATAGTAGTGTTGTGTATAGTGTAGTGGTGTAATGTATAGTGTAGTGTATAGTAGTGTATAGTGTAGTGGTGTAATGTATAGTGTAGTGTCTAGTAGTGTAGTGTATAGTAGTGTAGTGTATAGTGTAGTATATAGTGTAGTGTATAGTGTAGTATATAGTGTAGTGTATAGTGTATAGTAGTGTAGTGTGTAGTAGTGTAGTATATAGTAGTGTAGTATATAGTGTAGTGGTGTAATGTATAGTGTAGTGTATAGTAGTGTAATGTATAGTGTATAGTAGTGTAGTGTATAGTGTTGTATATAGTAGTGTAGTGTATAGTAGTGTAGTGTATAGTGTAGTATATAGTGTAGTGTATAGTAGTATGTAGTGTATAGTGGTTTAGTGTAGTGTATAGTAGTGTATAGTGTAGTGTATAGTGTAGTGTATAGTAGTGTATAGTGTAGTGTATAGTGGTATAGTGTAGTGTAGTGTATAGTAGTGTATAGTGTAGTGTATAGTAGTGTAGTGTATAGTGTAGTGTAGTATATAGTGTAGTGTGTAGTAGTATAGTGTATAGTAGTGTATAGTAGTGTATAGTGTAGTGTATAGTAGTGTAGTATATAGTGTAGTGTATAGTCGTGTAGTGTAGTATATAGTGTAGTGTGTAGTGTATAGTAGTGTGGTGTATAGTAGTGTAGTGTATAGTGTTGTCTATAGTAGTGTAGTGTATAGTGGTGTAGTGTATAGTGTAGTGCAGTGGTTCTTAACCTTGTTGGAGGTACCGAACCCCACCAGTTTCATATGCGCATTCACCGAACCCCTCTTTAGTGAAAAATAAAATGTGATTTTTTTCAAATTCAAGACATAGATATGTTTTTTACTGGTACACAAAATGAGCCGTGCATGAACATTACCTTGTTCAAAGAATAAAACCAACACAATGCATAAACTCACAACAAATTACATACCTGGAAATCAATGTGACTTCTGCTGTTGCCTTTGAGAGATCAGTTCAGATATGCGTGGCTTCACCTTGGCAAGTGCCACTCTCATGTCATTTTCACAGCAAAGTCTGTTCCTTTTCTTCGTTTTTATGTCCAGCATCCTCGAAAAGGATTGCTCACAAAGATATGTTGTAACAAATGGTATAAAAAAAATCCAGGGCTTTCTTAGCAATAACTGGATACTTGTTCATTTGTCGACACCAAAACGTTGAGAGCGTTGTTGTTCTGAAGAGTTGCTGTTGAACCTGGCTCTGCTGAATTTCAATGATTTCGTCGAGGAATTCATCATTGACATCTGCTGTTTCAACAGCAAACGTGAACGGCTGTCTCACCCATGCTGGATATGACTCTCTTGTAGGGAAATATCCGTCGAGAGACTTTGCAAGCTCATCTAAGTGCGTGGCAATTGTTTGCTTCAGTTCGTGGATACAGAAATATCTCCGATTCCAGACACATCTTCGATCTTACTTGCACAGTCGTCCAGAAGCGGGAAGTTTGCGAAGTTATTGTTCTCTGTTCGTCGTTTCCATAACGGTAGCTTTTTTTGAAAAACCTTCAGGTGTTCTTCCGCTTCCATGATATTGACTCCACCACCCTGCATCTGCTGATTGAGATGATTGAGAGCTGCGAATATATCAGCCATGTACGCTAAAATGAGAATGAACTCAGGATTTTTGAAGCAATCTGCATGGCAGTGTTGGTGCTCTTGCAAAAACAGGGCTAATTCCACACGCATGGCAAAAACACGATTCAGCACCTGTCCCCGGGATAACCACCGAATATTAGAATGGAGCAGAAGTACCTCAAATTCAGAGCCCATTTCTTTACACAGCTCACTGAAGATGCGGTGCCTCAGAGCACTTTTTCGCACATAGTTCACACATTCCACCACAGTTTTTAATACTTCTGCCATTTTTGGAGGTAAGGTTTTTGTTGCCAACGCATGCCTGTGCAGAATACAATGCGTCACAATGATGTGTGGTGCATCGGCCTTTACTAGCGCACCAAAACCAGACTTTCTTCCCAGCATGACTGGAGCTCCGTCCGTACAAACTGCAGAAACCATATCCCATGAAAGATTGTTGTCTCTGAAGAAGTCATCCACAAGCTTCTTCACATCGGCTGCCTTAGTTGTTGTTGTAAGAGGCTTACAAAATAAAAACTCTTCTTTAATCATGTCGTCTTTCACATAGCGTACAAAAACAGCAAGCTGGCTTAGATCAGAAACGTCTGTGGTTTCGTCGAGTTGAAGGCTGAATTTTGCCGGGCTTGAAATCAGATCCGCGACTACTTGAGCCAAGATGTCTTTACTCATGTCTTCTATTCTGTCACTGACGGTGTCATTTGAAAGGGGAATTTAGGATAATTTACCTTCGGCCGCTGTTCCGAGCATCAGATTCGCCATCTTTAATGCAGCTGGTTTCACAAGTGTTTCACCAATGGTGTGTGGCTTTCCCTGCTTTGCGATCAGGTAAGCAACTTCGTACGATGCTGTCAGGATCGGTTTGTTAACAGGTACAAATCCAAGAGCAGGCAGAGTGGCCCTTTCAATCTGGCTCTCTTCACCCTGAATTCAGCAAGTGTTGTGTTCTTGTATTCCCCGTCTCCATGCAGCTTCAAGAAGTGTTCCTTTAGTTTTGCCGGTGCAAGACTAGAGTTGCTCAACTTGGCGTTGCAAATCATGCAGATAGGACGCTCACTCCCATCACGTTCCGTGATACATGAGAATCCATGTTGTACATATTCGTCCGACCACTTTCTTCTTTTGCCCGACATAGTTAGTATGGATAAAATATTAAAGAAATCACACGACGTACGACAACAGTCACACGTTGACTACTGAGTACGCACTAAATTCCCCGCAGCGCTGATTGGCCAAGCAGTGTAGCATGATCATCTGCAGCCAGTGATGGCCAAGCGGGCCGTGTGTGTCATCACAAATTTACACAATAATTCAAGTGTGTCCGGACCTCCGTGGCGGGGGCTCTGCCGAACCCCTGAGATCGACTCACCGAACCCCTGGGGTTCGATCGAACCCAGGTTAAGAACCACTGGTGTAGTGTATAGTGGTATAGTATAGTGTATAGTAGTGTAGTGTATAGTGTAGTTTATAGTAGTGTAGTGTATAGTAGTGTATAGTGTAGTGTATAGCGGTGTGTATATTATTGTACATTAGCGGTGGTGGTGATGGTGGTGATGGTGGTGATGGTGGTGATGTTGATGATGGTGATGTTGATGATGTTGATGGTGGTGATGGTGGTGATGGTGGTGGTGATGGTGGTGATGTTGATGGTGATGATGTTGATGGTGGTGATGTTGATGATGGTGATGTTGATGGTGGTGATGTTGATGTTGATGATGTTGATGGTGATGTTGATGGTGGTGATGTTGATGATGGTGATGTTGATGGTGGTGATGGTGATGTTGATGTTGTTGATGATGGTGATGGTGATGTTGATGGTGATGATGGTGATGTTGATGATGTTGATGATGGTGATAATGGTGATGGTGATGTTGATGGTGGTGATGTTGATGATGTTGATGGTGGTGATGTTGATGATGGTGATGTTGATGATGGTGATGTTGATGTTGGTGATGTTGGTGGTGATGTTGATGGTGGTGATGTTGATGGTGGTGATGTTGATGATGTTGATGGTGATGTTGATGTTGATGATGTTGATGATGTTCCAGACTGTCTTCGACTCTGGGAATCTGCTGCTCAGCACTCACCGCCTCCTGTGGAGAGATCACAAGAACCTCGTCAGTGCCACCTCCTCCTCCACCTCCTCCTCCACCTCCTCCTCCACCTCCTCCACTTCTTCTACCTCCCTCCACCACCTCCTCCTCCACCTCCTCCACCTCCTCCAACTCCTCCACCTCCTCCAACTCCTCCACCTCCACCTCCTCCACCTCCACCACCTTCTCCACCTCCTCTACCTCCTCCACCACCACCTCCACCACCTCCACCTCCCCCACCTCCTCCACCTCCCTCCACCACCTCCTCCTCCACCTCCTCCACCTCCTCCTCCACCTCCTCCACCACCACCGTCATCAACATCACCACCACCATCATCATCACCACCGTCATCATCACCACCACCACTGCCACCATCACCACCATCACCACCATCATCACCACCATCACCACCACCATCATCACCACCATCACCACCATCATCACCACCACCACCATCATCACCATCACCACCATCACCTCCTCCTCCACCTCCTCCACCTCCCTCCACCACCTCCTCCTCCACCTCCTCCATCTCCTCCTCCACCTCCTCCTGCACCTCCTCCTGCACCTCCTCCTGCACCACCTCCTCCAGATCCTCCTCCACCTCTTCACAGTTCGGTGGGTGAGTGGTGTAGTAGGTGAGTGGTTGAGTGGGTGAGTGAGTGGTTGAGTGGGTGAGTGAGTGGGTGAGTGAGTGAGTGGGTGGGCATGTGAGTGAGTGAGTGAGCGGGTGAGTGAGTGAGTGGGTGAGCGGGTGAGTGAGTGAGTGAGTGGGTGAGTGAGTGGGTGGGTGAACGGTTGAGTGAGTGAGTGAGCGGGTGAGTGAGTGGGTGAGCGGGTGAGTGAGTGAGTGAGTGGGTGGGCGGGTGAGTGAGTGGGTGAGTGAGTGAGTGGGTGAGCGGGTGAGTGAGTGAGTGGGTGGGCGGGCGAATGAGTGGGTGGGTGAGCGGGTGAGTGAGTGGGTGAGTGAGTGAGTGAGTGAGCGGGTGAGTGAGTGGGTGAGCGGGTGAGTGAGTGAGTGAGTGAGTGAGCGGGTGAGTCAGTGGGTGAGCGGGTGAGTGAGTGAGTGGGTGAGTGAGTGGGTGGGTGAACGGTTGAGTGAGTGAGTGAGCGGGTGAGTGAGCGGGTGAGTGAGCGGGTGAGTGAGTGAGTGAGTGAGTGGGTGAGTGAGTGGGTGGGTGAACGGTTGAGTGAGTGAGTGAGCGGGTGAGTGAGTGGGTGAGTGAGTGAGTGAGTGAGCGGGTGAGTGAGTGAGTGAGCGGGTGAGTGAGTGGGTGAGTGAGCGGGTGAGTGAGTGGGTGAGTGAGTGAGTGAGCGGGTGAGTAAGCGAGTGGGTGGGTGCGTGGGTGGGTGCAACCACCATCACCATCACCACCATCACCACCATTACCATCACCACCATTACCATCACCACCATCATCACCACCACCAGCACCATCACCACCATCACCATCACCACCATTACCATCACCACCATCATCACCACCACCAGCACCACCAGCACCATCACCACCATCACCATCACCACCATTACCATCACCACCATCATCACCACCACCAGCACCATCATCAAGGCGCTGCTGCTTGCTAGCAGCAGCGCCTTGCCCACCAGTGTGGCGAAGGCTACACGGGGGACCTTTGTCTGTGTGTGCAGGAGTGCGTGATCAGCCTCCCCCTCTCCCTCATCCTCTCCGTCGAGGAGGAGCTGCCGCCGCTCATCAGCAACAGGTGACGTCGCCGTGACGTCACTGTGACGTCGCCGTGACGTCGCCGTGACGTCGCTGTGACGTCGCCGTGACGTCACTCTCTCTGCAGCCACCGTCATCGTCATCACCTTCATCATTATCACCATCATCATCATCACCATCACCGTCATCATCATCACCGTCATCATCATCACCGTCATCATCATCACCTTCATCATCATCGTCATCATCATCACCGTCATCATCATCACCTTCATCATCACTTTCATCATCGTCATCATCATCACCGTCATCATTATCACCGTCATCATCGTCATCATCGTCATCATCATCACCTTCATCACCGTCATCATCGTCATCACCGTCATCATCATCACCGCCATCATCATCACCGCCATCATCATCACCGTCATCATCGTCACCGTCATCATCACCGTCGTCATCATCACCGTCGTCATCATCATCACCGTCATCATCATCATCACTGTCGTCATCATCATCGTCATCATCATCACCGTCATCATCATCACCGTCATCATCATTTTCATCATCGTCATCATCATCACCGTCATCATCATCACCGTCATCATCATCACCGTCATCATCGTCATCATCATCACCGTCATCATCATCACCGTCATCATCATCACCGTCATCATCGTCATCATCATCACCGTCATCATCATCACTTTCATCACCGTCATCACTTTCATCATCGTCATCATCATCACCATCATCATCATCACTTTCATCACCGTCATCACTTTCATCATCGTCATCATCATCACCGTCATCAGGGGCGGAGCCAGGGGGCGGGGGGTGGTGACGGGGTTGACATTCTGCGTGTAAGTGTACGACACTCGGTCTAGAGGACTCCGTGACAACTGCACTGTCAGAGCGTGTCACCAACCAATGGCGTCTAAGTTCAACAGCCTGACTCTCTCTCTAAATCATTCTCGAAATTAACATTTGTTGTTGATTGTCCCCCCGGCCTGAAATCCTGGCTCCGCCCCTGGTCATACACACTTCATACACACACACGTCATACACACACGTCACACACACTTCATACATACACACTTCATACATACACACGTCATACACACGTCATACACACTTCATACACACACGTCATACACACACGTCATACACACTTCATACATACACACACATCATACACACACGTCACACACACTTCATACATACACACGTCATACACACTTCATACACACACACGTCATACACACACGTCACACACACGTCATACACACTTCATACACACACACGTCATACACACGTCATACACACTTCATACACACACACGTCATACACACTTCATACATACACACGTCATACACACACGTCATACACACTTCATACACACACGTCATACACACACGTCATACACACTTCATACATACACACGTCATACACACACGTCACACACACGTCATACACACTTCATACATACACACGTCATACACACACGTCACACACACACGTCATACATACACACGTCATACACACACGTCATACACACTTCATACACACACACGTCATACACACACGTCATACACACACGTCATACACACGTTATACACACTTCATACACACACGTCATACACACATCATACATACACACTTCATACATACACACGTCACACACACATGTCACACACACGTCATACACACTTCATACACACACACTTCATACACACACGTCATACACACACACGTCATACACACTTCATACATACACACGTCATACACACACACACACGTCATACACACTTCATACATACACACTTCATACACACACACGTCATACACACACGTCATACACACTTCATTCACACACGTCACACACACTTCATACATACACGTCACACACACGTCACACACACGTCATACACACACGTCATACACACACGTCACACACACGTCATACACACTTCATACACACACACGTCATACACACGTTATACACACACGTCATACACACACGTCACACACACGTCATACACACTTCATACACACAAACGTCATACACACACGTCATACACACTTCATACATACACACGTCATACACACACGTCACACACACACGTCATACACACGTCATACACACTTCATACACACACGTCATACACACACGTCATACACACTTCATACACACACACGTCATACACACACGTCATACACACTTCATACATACACACTTCATACATACACACTTCATACATACACACGTCATACACACGTCATACACACTTCATACATACACACGTCATACACACTTCATACACACTTCATACACACGTTATACACACACACACGTCATACACACACGTCATACACACACGTCATACACACACACGTCATACACACACACGTCATACACACACATCATACACACGTCATGCACACTTCATACATACACACGTTATACACACACGTCATACACACGTCATACACACTTCATACATACACACGTCATACACACTTCATACATACACACGTCATACACACGTTATACACACGTCATACACACTTCATACATACACATTTCATACACACGTCATACACACACGTCATACTCACGTCATACACACTTCATACATATACACTTCATACACACACACGTCATACACACACGTCATACACACTTCATACATACACACGTTATACACACACGTCACACACACGTCATACACACTTCATACACACACACGTCATACACACACGTCACACACACGTCATACACACTTCATACACACACACGTCATACACACACGTCACACACACGTCATACACACTTCATACACACACACGTCATACACACTTCATACACACTTCATACACACGTTATACACACTTCATACACACGTCATACACACACGTCATACACACACACGTCATACACACACACGTCATACACACACATCATACACACGTCATGCACACTTCATACATACACACGTTATACACACACGTCATACACACGTCATACACACTTCATACATACACACGTCATACACACTTCATACATACACACGTCATACACACGTTATACACACGTCATACACACTTCATACATACACATTTCATACACACGTCATACACACACGTCATACTCACGTCATACACACTTCATACATATACACTTCATACACACGTCATACACACACGTCATACACACTTCATACATACACACGTTATACACACACGTCATACACACACGTCACACACACGTCATACACACTTCATACACACACACGTCATACACACACGTCACACACACGTCATACACACTTCATACACACACACGTCATACACACACATCACACACACGTCATACACACTTCATACACACACACGTCATACACACGTCATACACACTTCATACACACACGTCATACGCACACGTCATACACAGGGGCGGAGCCAGGTGGGTGGTGACGGGGGTGGTGACATTCTGCGTGTAAGTGTACGACACTCGGTCTAGAGGACTCCGTGACAACTGCACTGTCAGAGCGTGTCACCAAACCGATGGCGTCTAAGTTCAACAGCCTGACTCTCTCTCTCTCTAAATCATTCTCGATATTAACATTTGTTGTTGATTGTCACCCCGGCCTGAAATCCTGGCTCCGCCCCTGACCGTCATCATCATCACCGTCAACATCATCACCGTCATCATCATCACTTTCATCATCATCATCACCTTCATCATCGTCATCATCATCACCATCATCATCACCTTCATCATCGTCATCATCATCACCGTCATCATCATCACCGTCATCATCACCGTCATCATCGTCACCGTCACCATCATCATCACCGTCATCATCATCACCATCATCATCACCGTCATCATCATCATCACCGTCATCATCATCACCGTCATCATCATTGTCACCGTCATCATCATCATCACTTTCATCATCATCATCACCTTCATCATCGTCATCATCATTACCATCATCATCATCACCATCATCATCATCACCGTCATCATCGTCACCGTCATCATCACCGTCATCATCATCGCCGTCATCATCATCATCGCCTTCATCACCGTCATCATCATCACCGTCATCATCATCACCGTCATCATCATCACCGTCATCATCATCATCACCGTCATCATCGTCACCGTCACCATCATCATCACCGTCATCATCATCACCGTCATCATCATCATCACCGTCATCATCATCACCGTCATCATCATTGTCACCGTCATCATCATCATCACTTTCATCATCATCATCACCTTCATCATCGTCATCATCATTACCATCATCATCATCACCATCATCATCATCACCGTCATCATCGTCACCGTCATCATCACCGTCATCATCATCGCCGTCATCATCATCATCGCCTTCATCACCGTCATCATCATCACCGTCATCATCACCGTCATCATCATCGTCATCATCATCACCGTCATCATCATCATCATCGTCATCATCACGGTCATCACCGTCATCATCATCACCGTCATTATCGTCACCGTCATCGTCATCACCGTCATCATCACCGTCATCATCATCGTCATCATCATCGTCATCGTCATCATCATCGTCATCATCATCATCGTCATTATCATCACCGTCATCATCGTCATCATTATCGCCGTCATCATCGTCATCAATTTCACCTTCATCATCGTCATCATCATCACCGTCATCATCATTGTCGTCATCATCACCTTCATCATCGTCATCATCATCACCGTCATCATCATCGTCATCATCATCACCGTCATCATCATAACCTTCATCGTGACATCCTGTGTACCAGGCGAGGCAGTCAACATTTCTCAGTGTCTGGGATTGAACCCACGACCTCCTGCGTACCAGGCGATGTAGTCAACATCTCTCAGTGTCCGTGATCGAACCCACGACCTCCTGCGTACCAGGCGAGGTAGTCAACATCTCTCAGTGTCTGGGATTGAACCCACGACCTCCTGCGCACCAGGCGAGGTAGTCAACATCTCTCAGTGTCTGGGGTTGAACCCACGACCTCCTGCGTACCAGGCGAGGTAGTCAACATCTCTCAGTGTCCGTGATCGAACCCACGACCTCCTGCGTACCAGGAGAGGTAGTCAACATCTCTCAGTGTCTGGGATTGAACCCACGACCTCCGCACTGTGCAGCAGCCCCAAGTTGTTGCTGCGGCTGTCCGGGGCCGGCGTGGAGGGAGCGGCCGCCGCCCTTGGAGGGCCATACGGGAGCAGCCGGCACGACGCCGTGAGGGCCTCCTTCAGGCAGCACGGCCACGCTCAGGCACGGCGGCAGTGACGGCACCGGCGTCAACACCGTCATCAACATCATCAACATCACCGTCAGCACCACTACCACCATCATCATCATCAACATCACCACCACCACCACCGCCGTCAACACCGTCAGCAGCACCACCGTCATCAACATCATCAACACCAACATCACCACCACCACCATCAACATCATCACCAACATCACCGTCATCAACATCATCACCAACATCATCATCACCACCATCACCACCACCATCATCAACACCACCACCGTCATCAACACCACCATCATCAACACCATCACCACCACCATCATCATCACCAACATCATCATCATCAACATCACCACCACCACCGTCATCACCACCACCACCGTCATCACCACCATCACCACCATCACCACCATCACCACCACCATCACCATCACCACCATCACCACCATCACCACCACCACCATCATCACCACCACCATCACCACCACCATCACCACCACCACCATCATCACCATCACCACCATCACCATCACCACCACCATCACCACCACCATCACCTTGTGTGTGTTTGGAGTGCAGTTCCTGCGGAGGCTGCAAGAGGCTCTGGCTCAGAAGCTGTGGCAGAAACTTCCAGACATGGAGACACGTGGACAGGTGAGACACACATACACAGGTGAGACACACAGGTGAGACACACACACACACACACAGGTGAGACACACAGAGACACACACACAGGTGAGACACACACACACAGGTGAGACACACACAGAGACACACAGGTGAGACACACACAGGTGAGACACACACACAGACACACACACACAGGTGAGACACACAGACACACAGGTGAGACACACACACACAGGTGAGACACACAGAGACACACACACACACACAGGTGAGACACACACACACACAGGTGAGACACACACACACAGGTGAGACACACAGAGACACACACACACACACAGGTGAGACACACACACACACACAGGTGAGACACACACACAGGTGAGACACACAGAGACACACACACACACAGGTGAGACACACACACACAGGTGAGACACACAGAGACACACACAGAGACACACAGGTGAGACACACACAGGTGAGACACACAGAGACACACACACAGGTGAGACACACACACACACAGGTGAGACACACACACACAGGTGAGACACACAGACACACACACACACACACACAGGTGAGACACACACACAGGTGAGACACACACAGGTGAGACACACACACAGGTGAGACACACACACACACAGGTGAGACACACACACACAGGTGAGACACACACACAGGTGAGACACACACACAGACAGGTGAGACACACAGAGACAGGTGAGACACACAGACACACAGGTGAGACACACACAGAGACACACACACACAGGTGAGACACACACACAGGTGAGACACACACAGAGACACACACACACAGGTGAGACACACACAGGTGAGACATACAGAGACACACACAGAGACACACACACACAGACACACATACAGGTGAGACACACACACACAGGTGAGACACACACATACAGGTGAGACACACACACACACAGGTGAGACACACACACAGGTGAGACACACACACACACACAGGTGAGACACACACACACAGGTGAGACACACACACACAGGTGAGACACACACACAGAGACACACACACACAGGTGAGACACACACAGAGACACACACACAGGTGAGACACACAGAGACACACACACAGGTGAGACACACAGAGACACACACACAGGTGAGACACACACACAGGTGAGACACACACACAGGTGAGACACACAGAGACACACACACAGGTGAGACACACACAGACAGGTGAGACACACAGAGACACACACACAGGTGAGACACACAGAGACACACACACAGGTGAGACACACACACACACAGGTGAGACACACACACAGGTGAGACACACACAGGTGAGACACACACACAGGTGAGACACACACACAGGTGAGACACACACACACACAGGTGAGACACACACACAGGTGACACACACACAGACAGGTGAGACACACACACACAGGTGAGACACACAGGTGAGACACACACACAGACAGGTTAGACACACACACAGGTGAGACACACACACAGACAGGTGAGACACACACAGACAGGTGAGACACACAGAGACACACACACACAGGTGAGACACACAGGTGAGACACACACACAGACAGGTTAGACACACACACAGGTGAGACACACACACAGACAGGTGAGACACACACACAGACAGGTGAGACACACACACACAGGTGAGACACACACACAGGTGAGACACACACACAGAGACACACAGAGACACACACACAGACAGGTTAGACACACAGAGACACACACACACAGGTGAGACACACACACAGGTGAGACACACACACAGAGACACACACACAGGTGAGACACACACACACAGGTGAGACACACAGAGACACACACACACAGGTGAGACACACACACAGGTGAGACACACACACAGAGACACACAGAGACACACACACAGGTGAGACACACACACAGGTGAGACACACAGGTGAGACACACACACAGGTGAGACACACACACAGACAGGTGAGACACACACAGGTGAGACACACACAGACAGGTGAGACACACACACAGACAGGTGAGACACACACACACAGGTGAGACACATAGGTGAGACACACACACACACAGGTGAGACACACACACAGGTGAGACACACACACAGACAGGTTAGACACACAGAGACACACACACACACAGGTGAGACACACACACAGGTGAGACACACACACAGACACACACACACAGGTGAGACACACACACACAGGTGAGACACACAGAGACACACACACACAGGTGAGACACACACACAGGTGAGACACACACACACAGGTGAGACACACACACAGAGACACACAGAGACACACACAGGTGAGACACACACACACAGGTGAGACACACACACAGGTGAGACACACACACAGACACACACACACAGGTGAGACACACAGAGACAGGTGAGACACACACACACAGGTGAGACACACACACAGGTGAGACACACACACAGACACACACACACAGGTGAGACACACAGAGACAGGTGAGACACACACACACAGGTGAGACACATACAGGTGAGACACACACACAGGTGAGACACACACACAGGTGAGACACACACACACGGTGAGACACACACACAGACAGGTGAGACACACACAGGTGAGACACACACACACAGGTGAGACACACAGGTGAGACACACACACACAGGTGAGACACACAGAGACACACACACACAGGTGAGACACACACACAGGTGAGACACACACAGAGACACACAGGTGAGACACACACACAGGTGAGACACACAGAGACACACACACAGGTGAGAAACACACACACAGGTGAGACACACACACACACAGGTGAGACACACAGAGACAGGTGAGACACACACACAGGTGAGACACACAGAGACAGGTGAGACACACACACAGGTGAGACACACACATACACAGGTGAGACACACAGAGACACACACACACAGGTGAGACACACACAGGTGAGACACACAGAGACACACACACACAGGTGAGACACACACACACAGGTGAGACACACACATACACACACAGAGACACACACACACACAGGTGAGACACACACACACACAGGTGAGACACACACACACAGGTGAGACACACAGAGACACACACACACAGGTGAGACACACACACACAGGTGAGACACACATACAGGTGAGACACACACACACAGGTGAGACACACACACAGGTGAGACACACACACACATAGACACACACACACACAGGTGAGACACACACACACAGGTGAGACACACACACACAGGTGAGACACACAGAGACACACACACAGGTGAGACACACAGAGACACACACACAGGTGAGACACACAGGTGAGACACACACACAGGTGAGACACACAGAGACACACACACAGGTGAGACACACAGAGACACACACACACAGGTGAGACACACACACAGGTGAGACACACAGAGACACACACACAGGTGAGACACACACAGGTGAGACACACAGAGACACACACACAGGTGAGACACACAGAGACACACACACAGGTGAGACACACACACACAGGTGAGACACACACACACAGGTGAGACACACACACAGGTGAGACACACAGAGACACACACACACACAGGTGAGACACACACACAGGTGAGACACACACACACAGGTGAGACACACACACACAGGTGAGACACACAGAGACACACACACAGGTGAGACACACACACAGAGACACACAGACACACAGGTGAGACACACACAGGTGAGACACACAGAGACAGGTGAGACACACACACACAGGTGAGACACACACACACACAAGTGAGACACACACACACAGACACACACACACAGGTGATACACACACACAGGTGAGACACACAGAGACAGGTGAGACACACACACACAGGTGAGACACACACACAGGTGAGACACACAGAGACACACACACAGGTGAGACACACACACAGGTGAGACACACAGAGACACACAGGTGACACACACACACAGGTGAGACACACACAGAGACACACACACAGGTGAGATACACACACAGGTGAGACACACAGAGACACACACACACAGACACACACACACAGGTGAGACACACAGAGACACACACACAGGTGAGACACACACACAGGTGACACACACACACACAGGTGAGACACACACACACAGGTGAGACACACAGAGACACACACACACAGGTGAGACACACAGAGACACACACACAGGTGAGACACACACACACAGGTGAGACACACACACAGGTGAGACACACACACACAGGTGAGACACACAGAGACACACACACACAGGTGAGACACACAGAGACACAGGTGAGACACACACACACAGGTGAGACACACAGAGACACACACATACAGGTGAGACACACAGAGACACACACACAGGTGACACACACACAGGTGAGACACACATAGACACACACACAGGTGAGACACACAGAGACACACACACAGGTGAGACACGCAGAGACACACACACAGAGACACACACACAGGTGACACACACACAGGTGAGACACACATAGACACACACACAGGTGAGACACACAGAGACACACACACAGGTGAGACACACAGAGACACACACACAGAGACACACACACATAGACACACACACAGGTGAGACACACAGAGACACACACACAGGTGAGACACACAGAGACACACACACACAGAGACACACACACAGGTGAGACACACACAGGTGAGACACACAGAGACACACACACAGGTGAGACACACAGAGACACACAGGTGAGACACACACACAGACACACACACAGGTGAAACACACACACAGGTGAGACACACAGAGACACACACAGGTGAGACACACAGAGACACACACACAGGTGAGACACACAGAGACACACAGGTGACACACACACACAGGTGAGACACACACAGAGACACACACACAGGTGAGATACACACAGGTGAGACACACAGAGACACACACACAGACACACACACACAGAGACACACACACACAGGTGAGACACACAGAGACACACACACACAGGTGAGACACACAGAGACACACACACAGAGACACACACACAGGTGAGACACACACACAGGTGACACACACACACAGACACACACACACACACAGGTGAGACACACAGAGACACACATACAGGTGAGACACACACACACAGGTGAGACACACACACAGGTGAGACACACACACACAGGTGAGACACACAGAGACACACACACACAGGTGAGACACACAGAGACACAGGTGAGACACACACACACAGGTGAGACACACAGAGACACAGGTGAGACACACACACACAGGTGAGACACACAGAGACACACACATACAGGTGAGACACACACACACAGGTGAGACACACACACAGGTGAGACACACACACACAGGTGAGACACACACACAGGTGAGACACACACACACACAGGTGAGACACACACACACACAGGTGAGACACACAGAGACACACACACAGGTGAGACACACAGAGACACACACACAGGTGAGACACACAGGTGAGACACACACACAGGTGAGACACACAGAGACACACACACAGGTGAGACACACAGAGACACACACACACAGGTGAGACACACACACAGGTGAGACACACAGAGACACACACACAGGTGAGACACACACACACAGGTGAGACACACAGAGACACACACACAGGTGAGACACACACAGGTGAGACACACAGAGACACACACACAGGTGAGACACACAGAGACACACACACAGGTGAGACACACACACACACAGGTGAGACACACACACACAGGTGAGACACACACACACAGGTGAGACACACACACAGGTGAGACACACAGAGACACACACACACAGGTGAGACACACACACAGGTGAGACACACACACACAGGTGAGACACACACACACAGGTGAGACACACAGAGACACACACACAGGTGAGACACACACACAGAGACACACAGACACACAGGTGAGACACACACAGGTGAGACACACAGAGACAGGTGAGACACACACACACAGGTGAGACACACACACACAGGTGAGACACACACACACACAAGTGAGACACACACACACAGACACACACACACAGGTGATACACACACACAGGTGAGACACACAGAGACAGGTGAGACACACACACACAGGTGAGACACACACACACAGGTGAGACACACAGAGACACACACACAGGTGAGACACACAGAGACACACACACAGGTGAGACACACAGAGACACACAGGTGACACACACACACAGGTGAGACACACACAGAGACACACACACAGGTGAGATACACACACAGGTGAGACACACAGAGACACACACACACAGACACACACACACAGGTGAGACACACAGAGACACACACACAGGTGAGACACACACACAGGTGACACACACACACACAGGTGAGACACACACACACAGGTGAGACACACAGAGACACACACACACAGGTGAGACACACACACAGGTGAGACACACACACACAGGTGAGACACACACACAGGTGAGACACACACACACAGGTGAGACACACAGAGACACACACACACAGGTGAGACACACAGAGACACACACACAGGTGAGACACACACACACAGGTGAGACACACACACAGGTGAGACACACACACACAGGTGAGACACACAGAGACACACACACATAGGTGAGACACACAGAGACACAGGTGAGACACACACACACAGGTGAGACACACAGAGACACACACATACAGGTGAGACACACAGAGACACACACACAGGTGACACACACACAGGTGAGACACACATAGACACACACACAGGTGAGACACACAGAGACACACACACAGGTGAGACACACAGAGACACACACACAGAGACACACACACAGGTGACACACACACAGGTGAGACACACATAGACACACACACAGGTGAGACACACAGAGACACACACACAGGTGAGACACACAGAGACACACACACAGAGACACACACACATAGACACACACACAGGTGAGACACACAGAGACACACACACAGGTGAGACACACAGAGACACACACACAGAGACACACACACAGGTGAGACACACACAGGTGAGACACACAGAGACACACACACAGGTGAGACACACAGAGACACACAGGTGAGACACACACACAGACACACACACAGGTGAAACACACACACAGGTGAGACACACAGAGACACACACAGGTGAGACACACACAGAGACACACACACAGGTGAGACACACAGAGACACACAGGTGACACACACACACAGGTGAGACACACACAGAGACACACACACAGGTGAGATACACACAGGTGAGACACACAGAGACACACACACAGACACACACACACAGAGACACACACACACAGGTGAGACACACAGAGACACACACACACAGGTGAGTCACACAGAGACACACACACAGAGACACACACAGGTGAGACACACACACAGGTGACACACACACACAGACACACACACACACAGGTGAGACACACACACACAGGTGAGACACACAGAGACACACACATACAGGTGAGACACACACACACAGGTGAGACACACAGAGACACACACACACAGGTGAGACACACAGAGACACAGGTGAGACACACACACACAGGTGAGACACACAGAGACACACACATACAGGTGAGACACACACACACAGGTGAGACACACACACAGGTGAGACACACACACACAGGTGAGACACACACACAGGTGAGACACACAGAGACACACACACACAGGTGAGACACACACAGGTGAGACACACACACACACACAGGTGAGACACACACACACAGGTGAGACACACAGAGACACACACACAGGTGAGACACACACACAGAGACACACACACACAGGTGAGACACACAGAGACACACACACACAGGTGAGACACACAGAGACACACACACAGGTGAGACACACACACAGGTGAGACACACACACACAGGTGAGACACACACACACACAAGTGAGACACACACACACAGACACACACACACAGGTGATGCACACACACAGGTGAGACACACAGAGACAGGTGAGACACACACACACAGGTGAGACACACACACACAGGTGAGACACACAGAGACACACACACAGGTGAGACACACAGAGACACACAGGTGACACACACACACAGGTGAGACACACACAGAGACACACACACAGGTGAGTCACACACACAGGTGAGACACACAGAGACACACACACAGGTGAGACACACACACACAGGTGAGACACACACACACAGGTGAGACACACAGAGACACACACACACACAGGTGAGACACACAGCGACACACACACAGGTGAGACACACACACACAGGTGAGACACACACACAGGTGAGACACACACACACAGGTGAGACACACAGAGACAGGTGAGACACACACACACAGGTGAGACACACACACACACAGGTGAGACACACACACAGAGACACACAGAGACACACACAGGTGAGACACACACACACACACAGGTGAGACACACACACACAGGTGAGACACACACACACAGGTGAGACACACACATACAGGTGAGACACACAGAGACACACACACACAGGTGAGACACACACATACAGGTGAGACACAGAGACACACACACACAGGTGAGACACACAGAGACACAGGTGAGACACACAGAGACACACACACACAGGTGAGACACACAGAGACACACACAGGTGAGACACACACACAGACACACACACAGGTGAGACACACAGACACACACACACACAGGTGAGACACACACACAGGTGAGACACACACACACAGGTGAGATACACACAGGTGAGACACACAGAGACACACACAGGTGAGACACACACACAGGTGACACACACACACACACAGGTGAGACACACACACACAGGTGAGACACACAGAGACACACACACAGGTGAGACACACAGAGACACACACAGGTGAGACACACAGAGACACACACACAGGTGAGACACTCAGAGACACACACACACACAGACACACACACAGGTGAGACACACACACACACAGGTGAGACACACACACAGGTGAGACACACACACAGGTGAGACACACACACAGGTGAGACACACAGAGACACACACACAGGTGAGACACACAGAGACACACACACAGGTGAGACACACACACACAGGTGAGACACACAGACACATGGGGAAAGACACGTGGCTGATGTGGTCATCCCTCCCACCCCTCCCACCCCGTGCCCCTCCCACCCCCATGCCCCTCCCACCCCCATGCCCCTCCCATCCCTCCCACCCCCATGCCCCACCTACCCCCATGCCCCTCCCATCCCTCCCACCCCACGCCCCTCCTTTCTCGTGCCCCTCCCACCCCGTGCCCCTCCCACCCCATGCCCCTCCCACACCCATGCCCCTCCCACCCCCATGCCCCTCCCACCCCCATTCCCCTCCCACCACCATGCCCCTCCCACCCCCATGCCCCTCCCACCCCGATGCCCCTCCCACCCCCATGCCCCTCCCACCCCCATGCCCCTCCCACCCCGTGCCCCTCCCACCCCCACGTGGTGTCGTGAGCAGCAGCAGCAGCAGCCGCGGGGGGTCCGGGCGCGGGGCGCTGGCATCGTGAGCATTGAGAGGAAGCTCGAGGAGAAGAGGAAAGAGACGGAGAAGCACATCTCAGAGGTGACCACCAACACCACCATCATCATCATCATCATCACCACCATCACCAACACCACCATCATCACCATCACCAACACCACCACCATCACCAACACCACCATCATCACCATCACCAACACCACCATCATCATCATCACCAACACCATCATCACCAACACCACCACCATCATCACACACTCCTCACCACACACTCCTCACCACTACCATCATCACCATCATCACCAACACCACCACCATCACCATCATCACCACCAACACCACCAACACCACCATCATCACCATCACACACTCCTCACCACACACTCCTCACCACTACCATCACCAACACCATCATCACCAACACCATCATCACCACCAACACCACCAACACCACCATCATCACCATCATCACACACTCCTCACCATCATCACCACCAACACCACCAACACCACCACCATCACCAACACCAACACCACCATCATCACCAACACCAACACCACCATCACCAACACCACCATCACCATCATCACCATCACCAACACCACCATCACCAACACCATCACCACCAACACCATCACACACTCCTCACCAACACCATCACCACCATCACCATCACCACCACCAACACCACCATCATCATCATCACCAACACACACTCCTCACCACTACCATCACCAACACCACCATTATCAGCATCACCACCATCACCATCATCACCACCATCACCATCATCACCAACACCACCAACACCACCACCATCATCACACACTCCTCACTACACACTCCTCACCACTACCATCACCAACACCATCATCACCAACACCATCATCACCATCACCAACACCAACACCACCAACACCACCATCACCACCATCACCACACACTCCTCACCACCATCACCAACACCACCATCACACACTCCTCACCACACACTCCTCACCACCATCACACACTCCTCACCACACACTCCTCACCACACACTCCTCACCACCATCACCAACACCACCACCATCACCAACACCAACACGACCATCATCATCATCACCATCATCACCACCATCACCATCATCACCACCAACACCACCAACACCACCATCATCACCATCACCAACACCAACACCACCATCATCACCATCATCACCATCATCACCACCATCACCATCATCACCAACACCACCATCATCATCACCATCATCATCACCATCATCACCATCATCATCACCATCATCACCATCATCACCATCACCAACACCACCAACACCATCATCATCATCACCATCACCAACACCACCATCACCACCATCACCACACACTCCTCACCACCATCACCAACACCACCATCACACACTCCTCACCACACACTCCTCACCACCATCACCAACACCACCACCATCACCAACACCAACACGACCATCATCATCATCACCATCATCACCACCATCACCATCATCACCACCAACACCACCAACACCACCATCATCACCATCACCAACACCAACACCACCATCATCACCATCATCACCATCATCACCACCATCACCATCATCACCAACACCACCATCATCATCACCATCATCATCACCATCATCACCATCATCATCACCATCATCACCATCATCACCATCACCAACACCACCAACACCATCATCATCATCACCATCACCAACACCACCATCACCACCATCACCACACACTCCTCACCACCATCACCAACACCACCATCACACACTCCTCACCACACACTCCTCACCACCATCACCAACACCACCACCATCACCAACACCAACACGACCATCATCATCATCACCATCATCACCACCATCACCATCATCACCACCAACACCACCAACACCACCATCATCACCATCACCAACACCAACACCACCATCATCACCATCATCACCATCATCACCACCATCACCATCATCACCAACACCACCATCATCATCACCATCATCATCACCATCATCACCATCATCATCACCATCATCATCACCATCACCAACACCATCATCATCACCATCATCACACACTCCTCACCACACACTCCTCACCACTACCATCACCAACACCATCATCACCAACACCATCATCACCATCACCAACACCACCATCACCATCATCACCAACACCATCATCACCATCACCAACACCACCAACACCATCTTCACCAACACCACCATCACCAACACCACCATCACCAACACCACCACCAACACCAACACCACCATCATCACCATCACCACCACCAACACCATCACCAACACCATCACCACCATCACCACCATCATCACCATCACCACCAACACCATCATTACCAACACCACCAACACCATCATCATCATCACCAACACACACTCCTCACCACCATCGCCCACTCCTCACCACCACCATCGCCATCATCACACACTCCTCACCACCACCCACTCCTCACCACCCACTCACCACCACCACCATCACCCACTCCTCACCACCACCACCATCACCCACTCCTCACCACCACGACCATCACCCACTCCTCACCACACACTCCTCACCACACACTCCTCACCACACACTCCTCACCACCCACTCCTCACCACCCACTCCTCACCACCCACTCCTCACCACCACCACCCACTCCTCACCACCACCACCCGCTCCTCACCACTTGCTCACCGCTCACTCACTGGGCCCATGCTCCCACCCACTCACTCACTCACTCATCCCCACTAATACATTCTGTCCCCACCACATCATCGTCATCATCGTCATCATCATCATCGTCATCACCACCATCATCATCGTCATCATCACCACCATCACCACCATCATCATCACCATCATCACCACCATCACCACCATCGTCATCGTCACCACCACCATCATCATCGTCATCATCACCACCATCATCACCATCGTCACCACCATCATCATCGTCATCATCGTCATCATCGTCATCGTCACCACCACCATCATCATCATCGTCATCATCATCATCATCACCATCATCACCACCATCATCATCGTCATCATCACCACCATCACCACCATCATCGTCACCATCGTCACCACCACCATCATCATCGTCATCATCATCATCGTCATCATCACCACCATCGTCATCATCGTCATCACCACCATCATCACCATCGTCATCTTCACCACCATCATCATCATCACCATCGTCATCTTCACCACCATCATCATCATCGTCATCATCGTTATCATCACCACCATCATCACCATCATCATCATCGTCACCACCACCATCATCATCACCATCGTCACCACCATCATCACCATCGTCACCACCATCATCACCATCATCATCATCGTCACCACCACCATCATCATCACCATCGTCACCACCACCATCATCATCGTCATCATCACCACCACCATCATCATCGTCATCATCACCACCATCATCATCATCGTCATCATCACCACCATCATCATCATCACCACCATCATCACCATCATCATCGTCATCTTCACCACCATCACCACCATCATCGTCATCATCACCATCGTCACTGCCACCATGGTCACCATCGCTGTTTGTCACACCGCAGGCTTTTGAAGATCTTGGCAAGCTGATGGAAAAGGTGAACGGCGTCTCCTCTATGTGTGTCTACATGTGTCTTCCATGTGTGTGTGTCTTCATGTGTGTGTCTTCATGTGTCCTCCATGTGTGTGTGTCTTCATGTGTGTGTGTCTTCATGTGTGTGTGTCTTCATGTGTGTGTGTCTGTCTTCATGTGTGTGTGTCTTCATGTGTGTGTGTCTTCATGTGTGTGTCTTCATGTGTGTGTGTGTTTTCATGTGTGTGTGTGTGTGTGTCTTCATGTGTGTGTGTCTTCATGTGTGTGTGTGTCTTCAGTTTCATGTGTGTGTGTCTTCATTGTGGGTTCTTCATGTGTGTGTGTCTTCATGTGTGTGTGTCCTTCATGTGTGTGTGTCTTCATGTGTGTGTGTCTTCATGTGTGTGTCTTCATTTGTGTGTGTGTCTTCATGTGTGTGTGTCTTCATGTGTGTGTGTCTTCATGTGTGTGTGTCTTCATGTGTGTGTGTCTTCATGTGTGTGTGTCTTCATGTGTGTGTCTTCATGTGTGTGTGTGTCTTCATGTGTGTGTGTCTTCATGTGTGTGTCTTCATGTGTGTGTGTGTGTGTGTCTTCATGTGTGTGTGTCTTCATGTGTGTGTGTCTTCATGTGTGTGTGTCTTCATGTGTGTGTGTCTTCATGTGTGTGTGTGTCTTCATGTGTGTGTGTCTTCATGTGTGTGTGTGTCTTCATGTGTGTGTGTCTTCATGTGTGTGTGTCTTCATGTGTCTTCATGTGTGTGTGTGTCTTCATGTGTGTGTGTCTTCATGTGTGTGTGTCTTCATGTGTGTGTGTCTTCATGTGTGTGTGTGTCTTCATGTGTGTGTGTCTTCATGTGTGTGTGTCTTCATGTGTGTGTGTCTGTCTTCATGTGTGTGTGTCTTCATGTGTGTGTGTCTTCATGTGTGTGTCTTCATGTGTGTGTGTGTTTTCATGTGTGTGTGTGTGTGTGTCTTCATGTGTGTGTGTCTTCATGTGTGTGTGTGTCTTCATGTGTGTGTGTCTTCATGTGTGTGTGTCTTCATGTGTGTGTGTGTCTTCATGTGTGTGTGTCTTCATGTGTGTGTGTCTTCATGTGTGTGTCTTCATGTGTGTGTGTGTCTTCATGTGTGTGTGTCTTCATGTGTGTGTGTCTTCATGTGTGTGTGTCTTCATGTGTGTGTGTCTTCATGTGTGTGTGTCTTCATGTGTGTGTCTTCATGTGTGTGTGTGTCTTCATGTTGTGTGTGTCTTCATGTGTGTGTCCTTCATGTGTGTGTGTGTTGTGTGTCTTCAGTGTGTTCATTGTGGTGTCTTCATGTGTGTGTGTCTTCATGTGTGTGTGTCTTCATGTGTGTGTGTCTTCATGTGGGTGTGTGTCTTCATGTGTGTGTGTGTCTTCATGTGTGTGTGTCTTCATGTGTGTGTGTCTTCATGTGTGTGTTGTCTTCATGTGTGTGTGTGTCTTCATGTGTGTGTGTCTTCATGTGTGTGTGTCTTCATGTGTGGTGTGTCCTTCATGTGTGTGTGTGTCTTCATGTGTGTGTGTCTTCATGTGTGTGTGTCTTCATGTGTCTTCATGTGTGTGTGTGTCTTCATGTGTGTGTGTCTTCATGTGTGTGTGTCTTCATGTGTGTGTGTCTTCATGTGTGTGTGTCTTCATGTGTGTGTGTGTCTTCATGTGTGTGTGTCTTCATGTGTGTGTGTCTTCATGTGTCTTCATGTGTGTGTGTCTTCATGTGTGTGTGTCTTCATGTGTGTGTGTCTTCATGTGTGTGTGTGTCTTCATGTGTGTGTGTCTTCATGTGTGTGTGTCTTCATGTGTCTTCATGTGTGTGTGTGTCTTCATGTGTGTGTGTGTCTTCATGTGTGTGTGTCTTCATGTGTGTGTGTCTTCATGTGTGTGTGTCTTCATGTGTGTGTGTCTTCATGTGTGTGTCTTCATGTGTGTGTGTCTTCATGTGTGTGTGTGTCTTCATGTGTGTGTGTGTCTTCATGTGTGTGTGTGTCTTCATGTGTGTGTGTCTTCATGTGTGTGTGTCTTCATGTGTGTGTGTCTTCATGTGTGTGTGTCTTCATGTGTGTGTGTCTTCATGTGTCTTCATGTGTGTGTGTGTCTACATATGTGTGTGTCTACCATGTGTGTGTGTCTTCATGTGTGTGTGTCTTCATGTGTGTGTGTCTACATATGTGTGTGTCTACCATGTGTGTGTGTCTTCATGTGTGTGTGTCTTCATGTGTGTGTGTCTTCATGTGTGTGTGTGTGTCTTCATGTGTGTGTGTCTTCATGTGTGTGTGTCTTCATGTGTGTGTGTCTACATATGTGTGTGTGTCTACATGTGTGTGTCTTCATGTGTGTGTGTGTGTCTTCATGTGTGTGTGTCTACATGTGTGTGTCTTCATGTGTGTGTGTCTTCATGTGTGTGTGTCTACCATGTGTGTGTGTGTGTGTCTACCATGTGTGTGTCTACCATGTGTGTGTGTCTTCATGTGTGTGTGTGTCTTCATGTGTGTGTGTCTTCATGTGTGTGTGTCTTCATGTGTCTTCATGTGTGTGTGTGTCTTCATGTGTGTGTGTCTTCATGTGTGTGTGTCTTCATGTGTGTGTGTCTTCATGTGTGTGTGTCTTCATGTGTGTGTGTGTCTTCATGTGTGTGTGTCTTCATGTGTGTGTGTCTTCATGTGTCTTCATGTGTGTGTGTCTTCATGTGTGTGTGTCTTCATGTGTGTGTGTCTTCATGTGTGTGTGTGTCTTCATGTGTGTGTGTCTTCATGTGTGTGTGTCTTCATGTGTCTTCATGTGTGTGTGTGTCTTCATGTGTGTGTGTGTCTTCATGTGTGTGTGTCTTCATGTGTGTGTGTCTTCATGTGTGTGTGTCTTCATGTGTGTGTGTCTTCATGTGTGTGTCTTCATGTGTGTGTGTCTTCATGTGTGTGTGTGTCTTCATGTGTGTGTGTGTCTTCATGTGTGTGTGTGTCTTCATGTGTGTGTGTCTTCATGTGTGTGTGTCTTCATGTGTGTGTGTCTTCATGTGTGTGTGTCTTCATGTGTGTGTGTCTTCATGTGTCTTCATGTGTGTGTGTGTCTACATATGTGTGTGTCTACCATGTGTGTGTGTCTTCATGTGTGTGTGTCTTCATGTGTGTGTGTCTACATTTGTGTGTGTCTACCATGTGTGTGTGTCTTCATGTGTGTGTGTCTTCATGTGTGTGTGTCTTCATGTGTGTGTGTGTGTCTTCATGTGTGTGTGTCTTCATGTGTGTGTGTCTTCATGTGTGTGTGTCTACATATGTGTGTGTGTCTACATGTGTGTGTCTTCATGTGTGTGTGTGTGTCTTCATGTGTGTGTGTCTACATGTGTGTGTCTTCATGTGTGTGTGTCTTCATGTGTGTGTGTCTACCATGTGTGTGTGTGTGTGTCTACCATGTGTGTGTCTACCATGTGTGTGTGTCTTCATGTGTGTGTGTGTCTTCATGTGTGTGTGTCCTCCATGTGTGTGTGTGTCTTCCATGTGTGTGTCTTCATGTGTGTG